ATAATTCACTGAAGTCAGTCCCTTTTATATATGGCACTCTTCAAACTGGTTTAAACACTGCAATGCAAGTTAAAACAAGATCGCTGCAGCAGGCTCGTAATCGCTTTTCTTGGAAACTTCATTGCAGGTACTTAAACAAAAAGCTCTCTGATATCCAAAGTCGCCTGTTCGGGTTTATTCCGTGTATTGAACCAGTGTTCCAGATTTAAATATAAATATATAAACACATATGTACAACAACTGAAACGTCAGTCCCCAGCAGCCTCACCCACTCCTGAAACAATACTGCCTTCTACTTCAAGTGAAACATCCGAGAAAGCAATTTCCAGTACTCAAACAACAAACCTTCAGACAACGTCCCAGTAGACACAAACCCTCTCTCCAATATCAACCATGTCACCCCTACCAACCATGTGTGACGCCTCAACTTCAACAGACAGCCTAGTACCTGTACACCAAGAAACACAGACTACGATCATCAAGAAAGATCGAAGAATTCAGACTGATGACCTCAACGACACTGACACCAAGAGAATGACAAGAGCCACAACAAGAACGTCAGACGTACTTCCAACCGAAGCCCCCGCATCACCCGATTTTATCCAGCTATGAAGTGTCCAGCTTCGACGACCAATCATCATCTGTAGCCCCATTAAGCTAAACCAAGAACCGGCATTTCCGAGAATGATTTCGCCTATTCACCTGGACGACCTGTTCTAGACTTCAAACACCGCCAGCAGCTACATTGAGTGTATCCTATGCCAACTAACAACATGCATTTTTCCACACCATTTTCCGGGCACGGTCAAGGCATTTTATTCGGCGCTCTGGCCGTGAAAGTGGGTTTTCTCTGGGTACTCCCGTTTCCCCCACAGCAAAATTTCTTCCAATGCTTTGGATCCTCTGATCCCAGCCCTGAAAAGGACCAACTCAGGTTAATAGTAAAAGGTAAAAGTAAATGTTACTCTTTAGTTCTATACTTCTATAGATCTCTATCAGTCTCTAAACAGTAAATGGTACAAACTTAATCCGTGAACTTCAACTATACATTCAGCTTAGTATAAATATTTCAGTCAAACAGTGACTACATCTCCCTGCTCTACAAACTCCTGACGCTGCGTGATAATCCGACGCCAAGTACAGCAGAAAGAAAGAAAAATACCATGCCAACAAACAACCCAGCGAAGCTCTTCGTCTTTCTCTTCTTCTCCACGTCTCTCTACGGCTTTTCCCGCCTCTTGGGAGTTCACTAATGTGAATATTACCCGTTTAGCAACTACAAGCCAACTCCATCACTCACGTAAGCGTTTAATATCTTAAAAGCCGCGGCAACCTATTTCTAATTATAGAGTGGGGTGAAGAGAAGCAACAGTTTATGACCGCCCCTGGTTATATTTCGTTCCCCTTCGGGGAACGAGATATATTACTAACCTAAATACCTACCAAGTCTAAAAGTAAAGATATGTACAACACACAAATATTCGTAGAAGCACACACACGTCTTCTCTATCACAAACTTGTGTAACCACGTGCACACTCGTCACACTACTTGTACCAACTGCCTGTAAGCATTGTATCGTCTTACAACAATGCACTCAGAGGCGATTGCAGGAATGAGCTCTCATTGCAGAAACTTACACAAAAAGCGCTCTGATATCCAAAGTCGCAAAAAGTCGCTGAATTTTTTATTTCACGGATTTTCCTAAAACTTATATTACTGTCACATGTAAAAATCAGATTGAACAAATTTGGACATTTTTACTTACACTTATTTTAATATTTTCTACATAGTAAGTTTATGTACAATCTACACAGCGTGGTCACAAGTAAATAGACACCTAACTTTTCGTCATTTAACTGAGTTATACTAACTAATTTGTGTTCACAGAGCACTATATAAGTGAAAATGGGCCGCACACTAATTA